AACAGGGTGTCATTTATATGCAGACCAGGTTGGCTTCCACCTGCCTGCCTCTACAGCTCTGAGACTGAAAGTGTGCACCACCATGCCTGGCTGTTTTATGAAATTTTTCTTTATTTTATGTGTATGAGTGTACTACCTACATGTATGTGAGTGCACCCATGTCATGCAATGCCAGAGGTCACAGGAGGGCATTGGATTCCCCTGGAACTGGAGTTAAGGAAAGTTCATAGCTACCATGTGGGTGCTGGGACTCGAACAGAGATCCTCTGCAAGAGCAGTCAGACCTCTTAACCACTGAGCCATCTCTCCAGCCCATTTTATGAAACTTTAATTCAAAATTATTTGCACTATGTTAGTTCTTAGCAATAAAAAAAAAAATCTGAAAACCAGGATATTAATAGATATTCAAAAATATCACAAGTCTCTAGTTATGAACCTTATCTATCCCCTCACAATTTTACAGGCCTGTAATTTCTGTAACAGAAGTTTTATAAACTGGTAGGCTAACCAATTTGTCACTATGAATTGCATTTCCTCTACTGTACTCCTAATACACAAAGGCCATTTATTATAAAATAAAATAAAAACATCAAGTAGGACAAGCAAATGGTCAAAATCTGTTGTGAGCATAGTTTATTATAGCAAAATGGCTAAAAGATCTTATAAATTTCCCCACCCTGACAATCATGTTAATCAGTAAAATCTTAAAAAGCAAAGTCTGGTCCTTTCTCCATAACAAACAGCAACTGTAAAACAAATGCAGTATTTCATCATACCTGAGATGATCTACCTAATAGGAAATGATTTGCCTATGCAGCCTTTATTTAAAAAATCTTTACTGGACGTGGTGGCGCATGTCTTTAATCCCAGCACTTGGGACCCAGAGGCAGGTGGATTTCTGTGAGTTCCAAGCCAGCTGCGACTACAGGAAGGCCCTGTCTCAAAAGGACCAAAAAGGGAAAAAAAAAGAAAAAAAATCTGCATTGTTTTTCTACAATCTTCCACTGCCCACATAAACACAAAAAAAGATCTCATGATCTACATAGTGAGTTCCAAGCTACCTGGGTGTACACGGAGACACTGTCTCAAAACAACCAAATTAAAAAAAGAGACAGCAATCATTTAAAAAAAAAACAAACCGTGTTTACACGGTATCTAAAAAGAACTAAAACTCTTTACTAGTCTAATTCATGTTCCCTAACGCTAGGATATCTTTTTCAATATTTTTATAGTTATTTTCCTTACAAAATTATTATATATTTATTTCTTTGGGGGCGGGGCAGGAGAATGCCATGGTCCATGCACATGTGGAGACCAGAGGACAACTTTTAGGAGTTGGTTCTGGTTCTCACCTCCTACCATGTGAGTTCCAGTTCTCAGGTCATCAAGCTTAGCAACAAGCTGAGCTATCTCAGGAAACCCCAAAATAACATTTTTTTAATTAAGGGAAGAACATGAATGCAGTCCCCCATAACCACAAGTATGCTCTCAAGTTTCCACATTTAAGGAAATCACAGAGTTCAGCATATCCAGAGTACAATGGATGAGCTTCACCCTAGGAAAACCACCTTCGTGATTTTGGTAGCTCACCTACCAGTTAAATATAATAGTCTATGGCAGGCTTGGTGGTGCATGCCTTTAATCCCAGTACTCTGGAGGTAGGCATATCTCTTTAAGTTCGAGGCCAGCCTCGTCTACATAGCAAGTTTCAGGCCATCTGGGGCTACAAGAGACCCTGTCTCAAAAAGACAAAAAAAAGTACAGCCTTTTCCTATTCCAACAACTGACATACAAAATTGCTATTCTAATTAAACAGGTTTTCATACCTTTTTTTGATGGAGTTTTGTTTTACCATAACATATCTTTTCCTGACTTATATAATATACAAGCCCAGCAACCAATCCATGCAATGATTCTCACCAGAATAATGGTGCTGTCCCTACCTCAACCACTAGATACATTTGGTAATATCTAGAATAAATTGGGATGGGATTGGGGTGATTTGCTACTGTTATCTAAAAGTCAGGGATGCTACTAAATATCCTTTAGTACAAAAGAAAGCCCCATAACCAGCCCAAAAGGTCAGTTAACGCAAGGACAGAGAAAGAGTGGTATGACTGGTTAGATTGGGAGCTGAGGCCAGAAATACTTAGTATGACTGATCAAGAAAAGGTTACTTCTGTGCCTCAGTTTGTTCATCTAAAACTGGGTAACAGACTACCAAACTCAGAGAGATGCTGTATGTATTCACAAATACACGTTCAATCTTACACATTTTTTGAAAAACAGCAAATGAGTAGTAAGTTACAAGCCTTAAGTACAATCTTGCCTTCTAGCTTGTTGTCCTTTTCACATACCAACAGATCCTCTAAATGCTGTTTACCACTGTCTTTTATCAAGTCCAAAACGTAACTGCTCTAATCACAAATCTAAAACAATTTCTTGTACTTAAATGCTGATGCTACTTTAATAGTTTCTGATAAAGTTACTTTATCTGCTTTCTGAAAATGGCATTATTCATATTACATACAGTATATTCCATGGGTTTGCAATTTAAATTAAGAGCATGAAAAGTGGTTTCTTCTTTTATACTACCACAAAACCGATAAAGCACATTTCTTTAGTCCTTGAAAAAGTATGGATCCCACTGATATTCACAATACCAGGTATTTTATAGAATTTAATATCAATTTAGGATTGAAGTTATTAAGGTTCAGAAATTAACACCCTTCAACTTAACACTCAACAAACTGCATTAATTAGAATTTGATAACTTCTTTGATTATAAAGTAACAGCCACACATAGAAGGATCTTTTTTTCTTTTGAAACTCAGAGAAAACTGAACTTAAATACTATCATTAATTATTGTTCTTATAGTAAATAGAAATTATCAGTCTTTCTCCCTAATTAACAATTAGTAAAGTATCACTGTCAATTATTATACCCAACTAAGCTTTCTCTGCCTTCTTATTTGTATTTGTGTGAGAGATGTGCAGAGGTATGGACTGTACCCCCAGCACACACGCCATAGCGAGCATGTGGAAAGCAGAGGCCACCTTGCAGGAGTCAGTGCTCTCCTTCCACATTAGAGTCTGGGGACTGAACTCAGGTCTTCAGGCTCAGTGTGAAGCACTGAGCCATCATTGCCAGCCCTTTCTTCACCTTTTTTTGCATTTGTGCACACACAGTACATGTGCGCACGTCAGAGGACAACTTACAGGAAACTGTCTCTCTCCCTCCACCATGTGGGTATGGGGAATGGAACAGAAGACATCAGTCTCAATGGCACCTTGCCCCCCACCCTTACTTACTTTAAACCGCCCCCCCCCCCGAGGTCTTGGCAATTAGTATTTTATTCCACATCTGCTTGTGTAAGCCTGTTTAAAGGTTTTGTTTTTATTTATATGTATGTATATCTGTATGTGTATATGTGTGTCCACAGATGCTAAAAGAGAGCTCAGAGGCCCTGGAGCTGAAGTTACAGGCAACTCTAAGCACTGGGAATTCAACACCAGTCCTCTGGAAAAACAACAAGCACTCTTAATTTTTGAGTCATCTCTCCACCCTGCTACTTTTCGTATTGTTATTAGTTTTTTTGTTTGTTTGAAGACTTATTTTTAGGGGGCTGGAGACTGACTGCTCTTGCAGAAGACTGGGGATCAAAACCTAGCACCCACATGGTAGCTAACAACTGTCCGTAAATCCAGTTCCAGGGGATCCAACAGCCTCTTCTGTCCTCTGTGGGCACTGCGCAACACAAATGCACTTACCTACATGCAGGGAATACACACACATAAAAATAGCAAAATATTTTTTAAAAAGATTTTTAGATGTGGAGTGTTTTGAATACATGTATAAGTGCACCACATGTGGGCAATGCTCAGAGGCCAGGAGAATGTGCTGGATCCCCTGTAATTGGAGTTAACAGAAGAAGCCATGTGGGTGCTGGATATGGAACCAGGGTCCTCTGGAAGAGCAGCAAGCACTCTTTAAACACTGAATCATCTTAAGCCCCACTACTTTTTCTCTTAATATTTAACGATCTATATGCATTTCACTTCTCAAGATCTACTAGTAACACAAAATTTTGGGGTGACAAGAGGTATTATATGCTGTTAAAGAAACCTCTTTCTAAGGCCGGGCATAGTGGCGCACACCTTTAATTCCAGCACTCGGGAGGCAGAGACAGGAGGATCTCTATGGGTTCAAGGCCAGCCTGGTCTACATAGTGAGTTCCAGGACAGCTGGGGCTACAGGGAGACCCTGTCTCAAAAAGACCAAAAAAAAATTTTAAAAAGAAGCCTCTTTCTAGGTCTGGAGAGGTGGCTCAGCGATTAAGAGTACTGACTGCTCTTGCAGAGGACCCAGGTTCAATTCCCAGCACCCACACAGCGGCCATGAACTGTCCTTAACTCCAGTTCCAGGGGAATCTGATGCCCTCTTCTGACCTCCAAGTCATGCACTAAATGACATGGTGCACTCATACACATGCAGGCAAGACACTCATACACATAAAATAAAAAATAAATAAATAAAATATTTTAAAAGAGGGAGGGGACTGGAGAGACGGCTCAGAGGTTAAGAGTACTGGCTGGTCTTGTAGAGGACTTGGGTTCGATTCCCAGCACCCACATGGCGGCTACAAACGGTCCTTAATTCCAGTTCCAGAGGAATCCGAAGCCCTCTTCTGACCTCTGCGGCACTGCATGACACGGGTGCAGTCACATACATGCAGGCAATACACTCATACACATAAAAAAAAAATTTAAAAAGAGGAAAAAGAAAGAAAAAAAAAAAAAACCCTCTTTCTGGTACAAACACTCTTTATGAGACTTAATATTCTCTACCTCTCCAAAAATTCTGGCTTTGCCAAAAATATTAAGACATGCTGTCAGAGCACTATATACAAGTAAAATTCAAGACTGACTTTCATCTAGTAAAATTAAGAGTTTTTAAAATTATCACAACCTTGACAAATATAGTCAACAGCAAGAGCTTAGTAAACATTTATTTAGATCCTGAAACTTGTCTGTGGCTCAAAGTTTTCAATTCAAGTGGTCTTTAAAAGGTAATTGATGGATTTGATTGAAAAGTTTCAGTAATACCTGTTATTTTATAACAAAACTAAAATATATGCAATTTTTTAAAATAAAAATTTTACTCACATTTGATTCTTTGCTGCTTGCCTCTGGGCTTTTCTTTCTTTCCTTTTCTGATCTGGTGGCTTAGCAAAAACTATTTCAATATTTTCTCCCTCCAAGTCTTTGCCATTCATTTCTTCCATAGCCTTTAAAAATCAAGACAGTAATCAATAAAAGCAAGCCTATCAAAAGAAATATAATTTAAAACTTAAAAAAAAAAAATCACTGACACTGAAAACCTCAAGCAACTAGATTTAAAAATAGGTTTTATCTAAAGTTCTCTTCTCTAGTTTTACTAAGAAAATTGGGAAAGATCAAATAAAGATTTGCTTAGGTATGTTTCAAAACCTTAGCATTTCATCCAATTTCTAAAATGTATTAATTCTACAATGACTAAAAATGTTCATTTATGTCTAATTTCTACCACTTATTTACCTTGACAGCACCATCTCGTTCATCAAAATGAATGAAAGCATAATCTTTCAGTTTCTTCACTCGTTCCAGTTTTCCAAACTGACTAAATGCCTTTTCTAAAATTTCTTCTGTTACAGTATTGGCAAGGTTGCGTACAAACAACACTTTTACCTGAAATAAAAATGCAAATTCCCTGAATACTTCCAAAGAACTCAATTTCCTTCCAAGATGCTACCACCCCACCAAGTGAAGTTAAAACTTGAACCATAACCACTAGAACACCAGAAACCTTTTTTTGGTCTTTTTGAGACAGGGTCTTCCCACATGTAGCCCGAACATTAAACATTTTTAAAAAGCAAAAAATAAAAGTACTTTTCAATTCCTTCGCATAGGAATGAAAGAAATTGCTGCATCCGATCAAAATTTCTAAAACAGACACGTTACCAAATAAGCTCTACTACGAAAATATGCTCATCATTTACCATTAAAGAACTAGCAAGTTAAAACAGTGAAATTTTAAAACTACACATCTATTGGAATTGGAATTACACTAAGACACCCAATGTAGGTGGAGATGTGGAAGAAGAGAAACTTGTTCAGATGAAGCGATACAAAATGGTACAGCCCATGTAGAAGATAGTTTGGGACTTTTATACAATATTAAATATATTCTTAACATATGATCCTTCATTGCTATTCCCTGCTGCTTACACAAAGGAGTTGATAGTGTACATTCACACAAAAACCTGCATCTAGATGCTTCTTAAAGCCTTATTAACTGCCCAAAATTAGAAACAACCAAGATATATCCTTCAGAGCATGGACAAACACACTGAATGAAAATTTTATCAATAGAGAAATAGAGTTAAAAAAAATCACAAAAAAGAAAGAGGACCCTTAAATGCATACTAATGTTAAAGCCACCACTCTGAGGTGTCTCTACTACATGATTCCAATTACATGACATTCTGAAAAATATAAGACAGTAAGATCAAAGACTGTCAAGATTTGAAGGGTATAGATGAACAGGAAAGCACAGAGGATTTTCA